ATATGAGAAAATATCTTGCATTAAATGTCTTGCAATTTTGTTCGTATAACTTTAATAGGAGAACTGAAAATTCATTTCAAACATTTTATAGACACAAACATACATAGGTACACATGTAGACACACACACATATACACAGAGAGGGAGAGGGAGAGGGAGAGGGAGAGGGAGAGATCCATCATTTCCTTTCAACAAAAAGTGAACATCTTTCGGCCAAAAACCACTTTCATCATTGTTTTAACCTCCCGGTTTCTCAGAGTATAAATAAGTGGGTTCAAAACTGGGGTAATAGCGCTATATATGAGGGTGATTATCATATCTCGTTGAGAGGAGGTACCCACAGTGGGAAGCATGTAGTTAAACAACACAGGAATGTAGACTAAAGCTACCACAGTCAGGTGGGATCCACAGGTGGAGAAGGCTTTTTGCCAACCATTTTGGGACTGCACTTTAAAGAGAAGGTGCAGAGAACTAAAGATATAAAGGTAGGAGAAGAGTATGAAGATAAAAGGGCCCATAACAACAGAGCTGGTTACAATACTGAGCAGCATGAGGTTGACATGTATGCTTTCACAGGCCAGTTTTAACAATGGCTTGATGTCACATACAAAGTGTTCAATTAGATTTGGCCCACAAAAGGGAAGATGAGCAGTCATCACTGCATGCATCAGGGCATGGAAAAAGGCAATAAGCCAGGCAGTTACTGCCATTAAAACACAGACCTCTTTTCTCATGATGAGAGTATAGCGCAAGGGGTTGCATATTGCCACATAGCGGTCATAGGCCATGATTCCAAGGAGGATGCCTTCAGTACCACCCATGAAGTAGAAGAAGAAGAGTTGGACCATGCAGCCATTGAAAGAGATGGTTTGCAGCTCTGTTAGCAATCCAGCCAGCATCTTTGGAACAGTTACCGTGGAGTGAATGATGTCAAGGCAGGAAAGATTTCCAAGGAAAAAGTACATGGGGCTGTGAAGGCGAGGTTCAGCTAAAGCTACAATCACAATAGTACCATTCCCCACTAACGTGGCCATATACAACAGAAGAAAAAATGTGAAGACTATATACTGGAGCTTCAAATCATTCTTTAGTCCCAACAAGATGAATTGTTCCACCTTGGTTTGGTTGTCCATCACTAAAAAGGAAGCAGAAAGTCATAAAGGTGGACAGAAATAATTATTCAGTGTTGATTAATATTTTGCCTGTTTCTTATGACCAGAAACACAAAAGCACATAAAAGTAGGGCAAGAGAATAATAATAATGGAATTATTATTACTAACACTATATGTCTAATAAGTAAAGGGTAGATAACAAGCTACTTATCTGAAGTACCATGAAGACATAATCTAGACAATATTAAATTTTTTCATTTTAAAATGTACACAGTGAAAGTAGTTTCTCTTTGTTTCCTGAAAGGGGCCCTCTATCTTGGCTGCCTTGCAAAAAGGCTGAGAAGAATTTTTCTTCCATCAGATGCTTTTGAAATCCTACTATAGAGCATTTAAAATAATAATAGTAATAGTAATAGTAATAGTAATAGTAATAGTAATAGTAATAGTAATAGTAATAGTAATAGTAATAG